GTTTATTTCTGGGCTCACTATTCTGTTCCATTGATCCATATGTGGGATTGTTTTCTTAATTTCTCTTTCTGATAATTTGTTGTTAGTGTATAGCAATGCAATAAATATCTAAATATTAATTCTGTATCCTGCAACTTTACTGAATTCATTTATTCTAATAGTTCTTTGTTGTCATTTTTAGGATTTTCTGTATACAGTATCATGTCATCTGCAAACAGTGATGGCTTTAATTCTTCCTTTCCAGTGTGGATTCCTTTTATTTCTTTTTCTTATCTGATGGCCATGGCTAGGACTTCCAATACTATATTGAATAAAAGTGGTGAGAGTGGACATCCTTGTCTTGTTCCTGCTCTTAGAGGATATGCTTTCAGCTTTTTACCATTGAGTATGATGTTCACTGTGGGTTTGCCACTATGGCCTTTATTATATTGAGGTATGTTCCCTCATACCCACTTTCTGGAGAGTTTTTGTCATAAATGGATGTTGAATTTTGTCAAAAGCTTTTTCTGCATCTATTAGGATGATCATATGATTTTTACCCTTCAATTTGTTAATGTGGTGTATCACATTGATTGATTTGAAGATGTTGAACCATCCTGAGTGCCTGGACTAAATATCACTTACTCATGGTATATGATTCTTTTAATGTATTATTGAATTTGGTTTGCTAAGATTTTTTTGAGGATTTTTTACATCTGGTTCATCAGTGATATTGGCCTATAATTTTCTTTTTTGTGGTATCTTTACCTGGTTTTGATAGCAGGCTGACACTGGCCTTGTAGAATAAGTTTGGAAATCCTCCTTCCTCTTCAGCTTTTTGGAATAGCTTGATGAGGATAGGTGTTAATTCTTCTTAAGAGTTTTATAGAATTTACCTGTGAAGCTATCTGGTCTTGGACTTCTGTTTGTTGGGAGTTTTTAAATTACTGATCCAATTTTATTACTGGTGATTGGTCTCTTAATATTTTCTATTTCTTCCTGATTCAGTCTTGGGAGAGTGTACATCTCAAGGAATTTATCTGTTCCTTCTAAATTGTCCATTTGATTGTTATATAATTGTTCATAGTAATCTCTTACGATACTTTGTATTTCTGTGGTGTTGGTTGTAACTTCTCTTTCATTCGGATTTTATTTGTGTCTTCTATCTTGTTTCTTGATGAGTCTTGGCTACAGGTTTATCAATTTTATCTTTCTGAAGAACTAGCGCTTAGTTTCATTGTTCTTTTCTATATCTTTTTAGTCTCTATTTCTTTTATTTCCGATCTGATCTTTATTTTTTCTTCCTTCTACTAATTTTGGGTTTTGTTTGTTCTTCTTTTTCTAGTTCCTTTAGGGGTAAGGCTAGATTGTTTATTTGAGGTTTTTCTTGTTTCCTGAGGTAAGGCTTGTGTCTCCATAAACTTCCCTCTTAGAACTACTTTTGCTGTGTCCCACAGATTTTAGATCATTGTATTCCCATTTTTATTTCTGTTTAGGTATTTTTGATTTCCTCTTTGACTTATTCAATGGCCCACTGGTTGTTTAGTAGTATATTATTTAAACTTCATGTGTTTGTGCTTTTTGCATTTTTATTTTTCATTTTGCCCAATTCTCTGTGACTATTTCTATGTATTAGGTATGTTGGTTGTGTTTTCTGATCTTGGAGAAGTGGCCTTATATAGGAGATGTCCTGTGGGGCCCAGCAGCATGCTCCTCTCTGGTCACTGGAGCTATATGTTCTCGGGGCAACTCCTATGTGGGCTGCATGCACCCTTCTGCTATGGTGGGGCTGACTGCTCTGAGCACACTGGTAGGTGGGACTGGCCCCCAGCCTGGTTGGCTTTGAGGCTGTGTCATGTCCAGTGGCTCTGGGCCTGCTAGAAGGTGGGGTAGGCTTACTGCAGGGTTAACTGCATGGGGCTGCTGCTGGCCTGCTGGTGGGCAAGGCTGGGTTCCCACATGGCGTCTGAATGGTATGGGGGCCTTAGTGCTGGTGTAAGTCTGCTGGTGGGCGGGCCAGGTCTTGGCAGCTGTCTACCGGGGGTGTGGGGCTGGTGTGTGCCCGCTGGTGGGTGGGGCAGGTCCCGGTGCTAATAAGCTAGGGGGAGGCATCCAAAATGGTGCTTACCAGCACCAGTGTCCACGTGTTACAATGAACTCCCCAAAATGGCTGCTGCCAGTCCCCAGGGGGAGTCCTAGTTGCTCCCTCCCTCTCTGGGAGGTTTTCCAAGATCAGCAAGTGGGTCTGACTCATTTTCAAAGTGCTGCCTCTGAGCTGGGATTCAGAGTGGATGAGATTTTGCGTGCACCCTTTTAGAGTGGAGTCTCTTGTTTGCTCTAGCGCTCCAGCTCTCCCAGACATAAGCCCTGCTGGTTTTCAGAGGGAGACGTTCTGGGTGCTTTGTATTCCTGGTGCAGGACCCCCTGGGCTGGGGAGCCTGATGTGGGACCAAGAGCCCTCACTCCCTGGGGAGGACCTCAAGACCGTGACATTCCTCCTGTCTGTGGCTCGCCGATCTGAGAGCGTAGGTCCTAACTCTACTGTGTCTGCGCCCCTCCTATCCATCTTCTTGTAGTTCCTACTTATGTCTTTAGTTGTGGAAATTGTTTTCTGCTGGTTTTCAGGTCATTCCTATAGACAGTTGCTCTGTAAGTGGTGGTAATTTTGGTGTGTCTGTGGAAGTTCACGGTCTTCCTGCTCTGCCATCTCGGCCACCCAGTCAATATTGTTAATTTAATCTTGCTTGCTTCCTCTGTTGATTTCTAAGAGAATTATTAAAGTCACTCACCAGCGCAGGGCTTTGATAGATTCTTTTTGTACTTTTAGTAGTTTTCTTTAAAATATACTTTATTGAAACATAATTTACATATAATAAAATGCACAGATTTTAAGTTTAATGAGTTTTGACAAATACCTATACTTGTACAATTACCACCCCAGTGAATATATAGAACATTTCCATCACCCCAGAAATTTCCTTTGTGTCCCTCTCAGTCGATTCCTCACCCAGACCCCAGCAACCACTGATGATTTCCATTACCTTAGTTTAGTTTTGCTTGTCTAGAATTTATATAAATTGAATCATAAGCATATATTCTTTTGTGTCTGTCTTCTTCTGTTCCATGTAATGGTTTTGAGACTTACCCGTGTTGTTATATCAGCAGTTTATTCATTTTTATGGCTGAGCAGTATACCTAGTTCATTGTTTCTTTGTCTACTTGATGCATAAAGCTTCTAAATTGTTTTATCTTATTTGGGAAGAGGCTACTTTAGATTCTGTTCATATCCTCCTGTTGGCAAAAGACATCTGGTCTGTAGTTACATGGGGAAAATATATCCAAGCACCCTGAGTTTTATGCCTGCTTATTAGTTGTCTGCACTGTGAGACAAGTGAGAGAACAAGAGAGAAGGCAGATGGTTTGTGGAGCTTTGCTGACTTCCTAAATGGCTTCTTGGCCCAGCCAGCCTGGCCTTTGCCTCCCTGTGAGAGCTGCGATGACAGTGCAAGTAGAAATGCCCCTGATAATTAAGGTGACTCCGAAAGAGGGAGTGAGGGCTCCAAATTCCGGGCCCCTGCTGTGTGATGCACCTACATGGAGATCTGTCAGGGAATCGGATCACGGAATCTGCCCTTGTCGTAGACATGCAGCCATAGAGCAACTTGAGCTTTAATGATTCCATATTTTAAAAGTTTAAGTAGAGTTAAAGAATACAAGTAATTGCTTAAAGGAAAATATTAATTTTAATTTTCAGTGATTTAGAGAAGAATTATTCAATTTGTTAATTATCTACGGTTGAGCCTGTTCTCTTCTGTTTACCTTTTAACTCCTTTGTTGTTGCTTTTTAGTTCCTTTAACAATAAGCAGAGGAAATGAAATTTCATTTGCTTTTAGTAGTTATAAAAGCTGTGTGTATGTTGGGGGGGGTGATTGAAACTGTTTTCTAAAGTAAAAACACCTTTTACATGGGAGGCGCTGTGTAACAGTGTTGCTTTAGGTGAGTCGCTTCATATGTGTACCTGAACCTTAATTTCCTCGCTGGCAAAGTAAGTCATGGCTACATACCCGTCTCACATGATTCTCAACATAATTTATACAAATAACATCATCTATACAAAAGTACTTTGTAAATTTTAAAGTTCTATTCAAATACACGCAGTCGACCCTTGAACGACGCAGGGGTGAATCCACGTATAACTTACAGTCGGCCCTGTGTGGTGCTACCTAGCTGTAGAAGTATAATAGACATATTCCTGGAATATCATATGTGACTTTTTAGAAAGCCAGCCATTATAAAAAACCTAATCATTAAAAAATGTGCTACCTCAAAGTAAAAAAAAAAAGTTCTACTTTGAGAAGATTGTTTAAAGGAACCCTACTGTGGACACATTGTAAGTAAGTAGCCCAGAGCTGGGGAGTCAGGAGTGCCTGCATCCTAGTCATCATCCTGGGACTAATTGGCTTTTTGATCAAGTTATGTTCTAGGAGCTCCTCTGTCTTAGTTTTCTCATTTAGAAAATGTGGAAGATAATTCATACCGCCATAGGAGTGCTATGATGTTATTATTACTACTGTTATTTTACTGAAGTGATTTATAACCGTTTATCTTAGTTTCTCTGTAAATCCAGATTTCTACCTATTGGGCTTGTTTTAAATTGTATCTACTTAAGGTATGTTTTCAATTCTATTTTTGGCAAAGGACTGAGATATTGTTGTCTTCTACTATAACTACACAATCTTTGCAAAATCATTTCTTAACAATTTGAAAGAGATGAAGAGTTGTGCATTTAGCTATACAGTGTGTGCCACTGTTCCATTAGAAGCTAAATAGCAGGGGTGAGGACACAGCGACGTCAGTTGTTAAGCCTATACATTATTCACTTAACATCTGCTGTTGGTTCTCTTTTTCCCTGTGGGGGAATAAATTACAGCACATCAGCACATTTTTCATGCTTTGTGTTTAAGCATTAAAAGTCATTTATTGTATTATTAATATTATTTTATTTCTGCTTATTTGGCAGCCCCTGAAGTTATCAATGCCCACGACTATAGCCAGCAGTGTGACATTTGGAGCATAGGTGTCATAATGTACATTTTGTAAGTACCCTGCTAAATGTACAACTTAAAATGAATGGATGATCCCTAACAGTAGAATTACATAGACTTTAAATTAAAACTAAACAATATAGTTTTAAGAAAGCGACTAAAGAAACAGTTGGGAAGTCATTCTAAAAGGTGTCTTATTAGTTGTCAGGTGCATCCATTAGGTATTTTTTTAATACAATCAATTTATAACTTTCAGCTTTTCTTTTCATTGATCTATAAATGCTACAATGCACTGTATGATCTGAGCCACGTGAAAAACTTGCCTCAGCACCTCCCTGATCCTTTGCTACAAAACAAAAGCTTCTTTGTATTTTCTCAAGAGATTCACTTATAGAGCATCAGGTAGAGGGAGGTCCTGGGACCTGGCACTAGAGCTACCTGATGGTCAGGGCACGTGTGAGGAGCGGGCAGTAACCAGATAAAGGTTCAGCCCAGGGTCCAGGGAGTATTCTGTTGTTTCTACTTCTCTTCATGCTACTGAAAATGTTGGCCTTTCTTGCTCTCTCTTCTGTCTCACTCTGAAGATTCAGTCAAACCCCATGGCCTGTATTTTTCCTTTCAAGTGTCCTCACCTATTATTTCATTTCTCTTCACTTGTATCATTTCTCCTTACGATCCCTTTCTAGAAGATTACAGTGTCTTTCTGTCGGTTCTCCTGCCTCGGGTTCACCCTTCACACAGTTGTCAGAGTTGTCTTTCTAAATCACAAATCTGATTGTACTACTTTCCTGATTAACAACCTCTGGTAATTCTCCCTTGCTGTAGAAAAATCTCAGAGCATCCCCGCATGGCGTAACACAAAGCTTCCACTGCCTGGCTCCAGAGTGCCTTTCTAATCTTGGTCTGCATATGTGTTCCCATTCACTTACCCTGTGCTGGTGGACACTCTAGGCCACTCCTTATGACTCAGGCACCCTGTATTGCATGCTTCTGGGTCTTTGCTCATGCAGCTCATTCTGCCTAGATGTTCTTTTTTCTTCTCTACTAAGCTCTTTCCTGGGTGTGTCCAGCTCACACAGTAAAGACTTCTATTTCCCTAAGTCCTACTCTACCCCAGCAGTTACTACATTCATTATGTGTATACTTTTTGGAATTTAAGGCAGTAGACGAAGATGCATGTAAAACAGTAATGTAGAAAGAAAAACAAAATAATAAGCATATTTAATTAGGAAAGTTTGCACATGTGTAAATATGATAGAATAAATTGTTCACTTTTCTGTGTTCTCATTGCACTTTTAAAAGCTAGATTATAATGGAATATAATTATTGTATTATGTGTATTGTACCTGTTTTTCTTACTCTAAATTCCACGAAGGACAGAGATATGATTCATCTTTGCATCCCTGGTATCTGGTACAATAGTAGACATGTAGTCAGTGCTCAATATTTGTTTGTTAAATTGAATTAAAGTGAATTGTCTAAGAGATGTTCTGAAAAGTTAGTGGTCACTGTTCTGCCTGCTGGTGAATATGAACATTTTTATGTTGATGCAACATTAGTTTTATGGTCATATTGAAGATTTCACTGTGCACTACCTCTTCCAGATCGTTTCTAAATATTGACATCACAGTAGTTATATTTTCACAGTCCTGTGAAATGGAATACACGGGCAGTAGAAATTGGATGTTGTGATCGTAGTTGTAACTCAGATAGCTGACATATCACTGCTTAGATTGCATAAAGTATAAATGTATTCACAAAGTTTTTGATCATTGTTCTGTGCTGATTAGAATCATATTAAAATTCTGAGCCTTAGTTTTAAATTAAAAATACAGCTATTTAAAATTAGTGTTTTATACTCTCACGACTTCCTGGACAACACAAGTCAAACATAATACATGTAAACTATTATTACACCATTCATGTGGTATTTGCTGCCTTCTTAGTTTGAATTTGGTGTTAAGGGAAGTGATAGCGTATTACATACCTTAAATTTTTTTCTCCTACTTAAAGATGTAATTTTAATTTTTCTGCTTCTGAGTGTGACTGCATATCATAATAATGACATATTTTTTTCTTTACAGTAGACTCTTACTTAGCTAATCAGTGCCTGTTCATTAATCTGCCTGAGCCCAGTGGTCCTACAGATAATTTCCTTCAACAAGGGCGCAAACATACTACCTTCTCCAGGGGGGTTATTTTCTTGTTTATCAATTACCCCTGTTTCATTGCTACTTAATTGGACAATGATAACATACTTTCTCAAGGTGAAATTGACATAAATACTCTTTATGGGCACTATCTTTTGCTGTTTTGATTCCTATGAAGCAAAATAATCGGAAGGCTTTAAGAGGCATTTTTCATGTCTTGGATTCCCTTTTCTGGATGTGCAGAAAATTGCTATCATAAAATTTCATACGCTGCTGATTGACCAACCATTAGATACATTTTGTGTGAATAAAATTGTAAAGGACAGAAAAAAGTGGAATTTTTAAAATGTAGCCCTTGAGCTATATAGTTGCATGCTAGTCAGGCAGTGTGGGAGCAGCTAAGAAATTGGTGAATGTGCATATCACTGGTTGTTAACAGACTCAATGAGCCAGGCTTTTGCTGGCCTGTACTTGCTATAATAGATTGTAATTGTCCATAAGACCATTTTTTTGGGCTTTTTTTTATTGCATTTTAAAACTAAACAGTAGTAAGGCAAGTAAGATCAGAGAGAGGAGGGTCAGAATGAGCTGGAGAAATAAAAAGTATTAAAATGAGAGTTTGCAGAACAATTTAATAAACATTTATCACTTAACAAGAACCTATTGGTAAATGAAAAGCTGTGTTATCCAGCCTAGTTTGATAAATTACTAGGACGAGAACAGCTCTCCCCCTCCCCCCCCAGAAAATCATTGTCATGTAAGATATTTACCAAATTTAGACTTCTTCAAAAAATATTCATGGGAAAGGCTTTGAAAGAACTTTAAGAAAAATATGACTAAAAACAAAAATCAGTAAAAATCTGTTAAGAGACCTGGAGATCATTATACATTATACTTATGTACATAATAGACCAGCATTTGGGAAGTGTAATGGAATTCTGCCGTTTTACTGTTTCCATAATAAAGTGGAAAAGTATAATCCTGAGAGTGGAAGAATAGACATACAGAGTTAGAGTTGCCTCTGTGATGAGTCCAGGTCCAGCTTCTCTCTGGTTGTCATTGGGAAAATCTGGTTGTTGTCTACAGGGTTGCCCTCAGATGTTGGGGTTGATGATAAAGATGATGGCCAACGTTTGCAACTTTTAAGCATGTTCTTGTAGTTTTGGACTAGATCACCTATTGAAGCATAGGCTTGCCATGCTCTTTGTAAAGTATAGCACGGTGCTTCCTTTAAAGGATTCTAAAGACTCATAGTCCCCGTACTACAGAATTTACAAATAAGCCCATGTTTACTGTATACACATGGCTTTACTGATATTGGTTGTTACATATACTCAGCTTTCACCCTTCCAGACTGATTTTCCTCATTCAGATTTTCTTCATTTTATGTATCATTTTTGAAGAGTTGTGGCCATTTTAATGGATTTTTGCTTTTGACTCAGAGCCTGTAGACCCCAGGGTTATTCTTACTATCACTAACATTCGTGTAGCATTTTACCACAGATAAAACTCTTACATGGTCATTAGAGTCTGATAACTCTCGTTAGACTCTGATAACTCTGTCTATCTTTCTGTAAGTCCAATGTGAATTATGTACCTTAAGGTGTTACCTTACCTTTGCTCACATTGAAGTGTTTCTCCTCTATCATCCACCACTATTACTGTGCACTTAAACTCACACACCTTTCTGTATTTTAACCCTTTAGTGTTTCCCCACCTGGAAGAGCTTTGGGTCATTTGCAAATGTGGAAGTTCCAATGTATACAAGAGCCTAGCACAGATCTTGCAAAAGCCCTTCGCTTCCATTTCTACATCCAGAGAAGTTCCCACCTCTTTCTCTCCTTTACTTAAATATGAAGCACCACTACTTCCAAGTCCTGTGGAAACTTAATTTTTAATAGCCTCATTCTGATTATTTTTTAAAAAATCTTAACAAAACAACTGTCTTTGTTGTAGATTATGTGGAGAAGCACCCTTTATGGCAAGCTCAGAAGAGAAGCTTTTTGAGTTAATAAGAAAGGGAGAACTACGTTTTAAAGATTCAGTCTGGGATTCCATAAGTGATTCTGGTAAGTACAGATTTGTTATTATTTACTAAAGCAAGTATACATAATATAAGAAAGGCAGCCAGTAATTCAGATACTTTAGATCTCTGGTTAGTCATTAAATTTACTTGTAGAAATACACTACTTACTTGTGGTAATAGTGGTATCTTCACTGTGCTTGTTATAGTTGAAACTTTCAGCAAAAACAGAAAATGCATAATAAAAATTGAAGAGGAAATTTGCTGATCATCTAGCTAATTTTTTACTATAGACCATAAACCAGGTAATCCAGGCAATAAAACCTCACTTTAGGCCTTAAACTTTATTTAATACTAGCCACTGGTACTGATGATATTTATTTTATAACTGAGAAGTTTCCTTCATATCATACAGACCTAATCCTAAATAAACTGGAAAATGTGTGGTACTAATTATAGTTGAGATAAATAAGACTTTCAGGATTTTTCCCTTATTTGCAGCTAAAAGTGTTTTGAAACAACTTATGAAAGTAGATCCTGCTCATAGAATCACAGCTAAGGAACTACTAGATAACCAGTGGTTAACGGTAAGTTACAGTATTACTTCTTTTTTTTCTTTTTGGCATGCTGTCATTGCTTATTTCTTCTCATCTGGCCTTGTAGTTTATATATAGTCTTCTTAAAACAGTCATTTAGTTTCATCTTCTGACAAGTTAAAAAAATTATTGAGTGTTGCCACATTTCTGAAATGGGTATTTTCAAACTGTTAAAATTACTACCACAGTTGTTTGTATATGTTTATAGAGGTTTAAATGAACTTTTCTTTTGTATCAAATCCAGTAAAATAGAGCTGAGAAATGTCCATTATTAAAGCTGTGGAATATTGAAGCAGTCTGTATAGTTTAGTGATGTAAAGCACTGGAACCACCTACTTCTCTTTCAACTCTTTGGATGCAAGGAATCTTCAGGGATTCAGAAAAGCCAAGGTCTTCTAACAGTGCCTGTTGCCTGGCTTGAAATCTTGAGTAATGATTCATTTACATATTGCTTTCCCCCATTGGACTAATGCCTTGAGCAGTGACTCTATGTCTTTTTTTTTTTTTTTTTTTTTGGTATGCGGGCCTCTCTCTGTTTTGGCCTCTCCTGTTGCGGAGCACAGGCTCCGGACGCGCAGGCTCAGCGGCCATGGCTCACTGGCCCAGCAGCTCCGCGGCCTGTGGGATCTTCCCGGACCGGGGCACAAACCGGTGTCCCCTGCATCGGCAGGCGGACTCTCAACCACTGCGCCACCAGGGAAGCCCTTGTGACCCTATGTCTTACTGATCTTTGTATCCCTGTACCCAGAACATTACCTGGTCACAACAGGAACTTTGGAAGAGGATGCTACTACCTCTCAGTATTTATTTTCTCTTTCTTCTGTGGAAATGAGGATCCTGGCTTTTAGCTGGTAACATTGCTATCTTGTCTTCTTTGCTAGTTCTTCCTCATCGTTGCTAGTTATGGTGCTGGTCAATGAGATCTAAGTGGAGGTAGGAGCAATTTCTGGGAAGTGTCCTTAAATGGAGGGGGTATGGCCTTCCTCACATCCATCTTCTTCCCTAGTGACTAAAATGCAGCTGTGATGGGTGGAGTTTAAGTAGCCATATTAGATCATAGAGTGGAATTTATAAACGGGATAGCAGAGCAACAAGATGCAAGGAACCAGGGCTCTTAGCATATAGAGCTGCTATGCCAGCCCTTGACTGCCTACCTCCAGACGTTTTTATATGAGCAGGAGACACATGTCTGTCATCTTTGAGATACTGTGAAATATGCAGTTAAACCTAATACCAATTAATACAATAATAAATAATTGCTGGATGAGTAGATGATTCAGTAAATGAATATCTGTAGGTATGTCAGAAAATGTCTGAGAATGGAAATTAGAGATTGTCTTAGAGACGTAGGAAGGTTGCTAAGTAATATTTATCTATGCAGAAAGTTATTTTACATCTGTGACTTGCGAGACACTGTGTTAGGTACCGCAGATACATGATGTGCTTGTAATGCAGTAGTAATGTTGAGAGATGATGGTGGCTTGGACAGGGTGGTAGCAATAGAGTTGAAGAGAAATAAATGTAATATATTTTTTAGGTATATTTGATAGGGCTTGGTGATGGATCAGATAAGAGATAAGGATAAGGGAGGTATCAGGATGATTTTTAGATTTTGCTTTAACAGCTGGTTGGATGGTAGTGCCATTTGCTGAGATGTGGAAGACTGTAGGAGAAATAGATTTTTTTTTTTTCTGGGGGAAGAGTGGTGAGTCAAGAGTTCCATATGAGACATGCTAACTTTGAGATGCCTATGTAGCATTCAAGTGGAGATTTCAAATAGATCATTGAATGTATGAGCCTGGAACTCGAGAAGAATGAGCTGGAGATATAAATCTGTGATTCCTGAGTATATAGATGCCATGTAAAGCCATTGGGCTGAAGAGATAAGTTAGGAAGAAAATACAGATAGCAAGGACAAGAGGCCTCAGCACCCTGCCTTAAACACTACAACATTTAGAAGAGGAGAAGCTAGCAGTGGAGGCTGAAAAGGAATAGCTGATGAGGAAGAAGGAAAGTCAGGAGGGTGGTGCCAAGGAAGTTGAGTGAGAAGAGTGTTCGAGAAAGCAGGAGCAGTCAGCTCCCAGGTAAATGCTGCCGAGGGGTCAAGATGAGAATGAGTTTTCATTAGAATGGCCAACAGAGGGGTTGATGGTGACCCTGAAGGCCTAGATAGGTTTAGATACCATAAATTTATAGTGATAGCATTCTGATTTTCTTTTGGCAATTTCTAATCATTTTTTTTGAATAACATTTTCTTTAAGGACTAAAGAAATTGTCTTCACTCAAAAATGGTTTATATCTGCCCTCTTCTGTGAATGTGTTGAACTCTCAAATGATTCTGTGCAATAAGTATTTCTGGCCTAAAGTAATTGTGCAAATGAGTTAGCAGCTAGATCATTGCAAAACTACTGAGTAGATTTGCAGTACAGCAAAATAAAAACTGTAAAACAGATGGTATGCTTTAGAAATCTATCTCTTTTCAGCATCACACAACATTCGGGTTTGGCCATTTAATTATTTGTTTTCTAATTAGTACAACTTTATTTCTGGCTTTGGTCATTTTTCCAGAAGTCTCCATTTTTGAGCCTCTGTAACATTTGTCTCTATCTAGTCTTTGCCAAATGGATAGAGAAGTGACAGATAGCGTGTACTATATCAGACTATCCTAAGGAGTTCAGTGTATGAAGTTTAGAATACTGGCATTTTGTAAACTTCTGAAAGGCAAAACTCTTTTCTTCTTAACCACTTGAAGTCTTGCTTCCTGTAATTCATATCCTGTTTGAAATAATCTAAAGAGAACACGTTAGTTCTCTCAGTGCCTTACTGCTTTATAAGCAGAACTGATCTTCCAGTACCGAACAAATAGTAACATTCTTTTCAAAGAGCTTTATTGGATAAAAAGTTTCTATGGTTTACCTATATATTGTACATTTTGAAATACAGTACATATCTGAAAAGTATTCTGAGAAAAATAATCATTGCTTCGCTATGTACATTTAAGTGAATGGGTCTTAAACAGATATTGTCATCCTGATTTAAAAAGTCAAAGATCGGGACTTCCCTGGTGGCGCAGTGGTTGAGAATCCGCCTGCCAATGCAGGGGACACGGGTTCGAGCCCTGGTCTGGGAAGATCCCACGTGCTGCGGAGCAACTAAGCCCGTGCACCACAACTACTGAGCCTGCACTCTAGAGCCCGCGAGCCACAACTACTGAGCCCGTGTGCCACAACTACTGAAGCCCGCACACCTAGAGCCCGTGCTCTGCAACAAGAGGAGCAACCGCGGTGAGAAGCCCACGCACCGCAACGAAGAGTAGCCCCCGCTCGCTGCAACTAGAGAAAGCCTGTGCACAGCAACAAAGACCCACCACAGCCAAAAATAAATAAATTTATAAAAAAACAAAACAAAAAACCAGGTATTTAAAAAAAAAAAGTCAAAGATCAGATGCAAGGAAAAACAGCCAATAATGACTTCACTACAAAGGAAGAGTTTGATGATGACTTCCACTGCCAAGAGTGTGCCTGTTATCCTCTTTATCCTTTTCTTCTTTTTTCCTCTTTTCATTCTCAGCAGTGGTTCAGGACTTCATTCCTTATTAAGATAGTTACAGTTGCCCCTTGGTATTAAGTCCCCTGGTAACAACTAACACCAAGAATTTGCGTATTTAACAAGTTTCCCCAGTATTTTTAATGCCTGCTTATATTTAAGAACTCTGCCATAAAGTAACAAAAGCATTTTTCTTTTACGGCTTGTCAAAAAGTAGTTTCCGGAGTTGAGCTCTACTGGTATTATTCAGTAATTCATTCAACAGATTTTTTGTGTGTGTGCCTACCATGTGCCAGGCCCTGTGCTAGGTAATAAAATATAGTTAAAGACATATAGGACCTGGTCTCTGACATGAGGAACTTACAATATAATAAGGAAAACAAGCTATGTATAAGATACAAAGCAAGGAAGAAAATGATAAATGACATAAGAAATTACCAGATGAACAGAGAGATACAGAGGCAAGCAAGTGTGAAATCAGGAGTTCAATTTGACTGACAAATAAGATGCCTGAAGGAAAGAAGTGGGAAATAAGACTTTAGAAGAGGAAAGAAAATTGTGAGGGCACTTGAGTCCCAGGCTAAAGAGTTTTAACTTCCTGCCATAGATAGTGGGGAACAATTGCAAGCTCTTTGACGGAAGGAAATTATTATTATAGTGCGTCAGTCTTGCAGGGTGGCTTATTTTAAATGGGACAACAGTCATTTAAACGTCTATGTTGATTGTAACAACTGTCTTTTGATTTTAATTCATCGGGCACTATGTGGGTACAAAGATGAATAAAACACAGTCTCTCCCATTGAGTGATTTACCACAAATTACAGTGTACTTTGCTTTTTAGTCACACTTTACAAATGCTCTTGTAATGAACTGTAGGGTCTAACTTCAGAACACTCTTTCCTATGTGTGAACAGGGTCCTTGTTCACTAATTCACAAACTGTTATTTAGGCTTTGGTCATTAGCTTTTAACCTTTAGCCTGTACACTCTATGTAAAAGAATTGGAATTTTCTGATACCTAACTAATTATTGGTAATTTTTCTAATACCTAACTATTTTTTTTCCTACTGTATATTTTCTTCCTAAATATATTAAGTCTCTTACCTTTATTTTACTATTGATATATTTACTTATTCTTAAATTCTGAATTATCTTACATATATGAATACGCTTTGAAAGCCCTCTTTAATGAAGGTTTTTTAATAAATAAGAATTATGTTTGGAAGCTCATGAACCAGGAACCTTGGGCATTTACTCAAAAGTCAGTGATTGATATATACTTAATAATTCAAACAAATATTTATTGAATAACTACTATGTGCTGTGGAGGACACAAGGATGAGTCTGGCATAGTCCCTTCCTACAGGTTGCCCAAAGCATAGTGGAAAGTTTAAAACAAAAACACAGGCAGAGAATGAGTATATGATGTGTGTGTGTGTATACATA